TCATGTCACATTTGAACATTAAACCATCTAATTTTTATTTTGCATACAAACTATGACAATGTATATATGTCCATCTAAATGTAAACGATAAAAAAAATATATATGTCTACATATCAAATTATATTTTCTTATATACTTTTAATATATTTTACTTTTAAATTATATTAATGGAATAATCAAGATGGCCACCGTCAATGTTAGGTCAGCACCAACAATTGTTTTGCATAGAGTTAGATAATCGTAATTTAACTTGTTTTTTTAAATACATATTGATAAATTCATAGAAAATAATAAGAATAAAATATTTAAACTATAATACATCTCTAAAACAATAAAAGGTAAAACTAACAATATAATAAAGAAAATATAATTGTTGCATCTTTGGAATGTTGTGTGGAACTTTATCTGTGACAATGCTTCGATAAGGACAATATATTCCCACTTATTAGAAATACAAAAATTAACAATAAAATTATCCATTAGGCATTTTCTTTTCATTAATTATAGTTGTATACATATGACCAACAAAGAAACTAAAATTGGGGAAAAAAACTTCATGCACATATGTTTAGATGGTCTCTTCAAAATTCTGTAAAAACTAAATAAATTATACCAACTAAATATAAATAAAATCAAACAAACTATGTATTTTTGGCCAAACAACACATCTCAATCACAACAAATCAATATAAATATGCCTAATATATAAGTGGAAATTAAACAAAAATTTGAACGATATATATGTATTTTCCTCTTCATACTTCACAAACAAAGCTATTTTAATTTATCTTGAAATTTTTTTATGAATATAATATATAATTCTCCATATGAATATATTATAAATCTTATTAGTTAGAAGTTTTAATAGATTTTTTCTAATTTATTTTGTTATATTTTCTCTTTCTAGGTTATCAATCCGTTGAAACGGTCAATGTGGATAACTTTAATAAACCTGAGGTTATAAACTTGGACTGATCCACCAATCAATCAATAAGAACAATTTAATGATCAAATGTGATTAGTTAGTATTCTCAAGAGGTATAAAATAATATAAGATGGTGTTATTAACTGTATTAACGAATTCTTGTATCAAATTGAGACATTTAAGAAATATAACTGACTATATGCATAATTATTTTTTATCAAGTGATAAACCATTGGTACCCTTTTTAGGTCCAAATAGATAAAATCATAAAATGTATTTTATTTGTATTATTTGCACTTCATATGTGATTATAATAATATTATAATATTGTATTTAAATTATTATACATAAATTTATCCTCACTGATGATTTTGATTAGATGGTGAAAGTCATATTATTTTAATTATCTTTTTATGGGAATGAGAAATTTGAGTCTTATTAAAAAGCTAAACCAACCAAAAATCTCCAATATTGGTATTTGGTGTATACATATTTTAGTTAACTTATGGTTCTACTTATGGTCCTATATCGATACTTAAAAAAAATTGAGTAGATACATTTAAATTAGAAGAGATTGTACATTTTCGTAACGTGTATGAAAATTCCATCATAACAAATTATGTGGATAAATATGACATGGTCATTACAACATATGACTTTAGGTAACAACATTTACTGTAATATTTTACAATTATTAGTTTATGTACATATTATTGTAACACTTTTAATGTTACAAAAAATTAGCAAAAGTATCATAAAAGTGTTACCAAAAACTACCAAAAGTATTACTTTTGACCTTTAGGTAGCACAAACAACTGTTGCGCCAATATTGTATTACCTATTGTGTATAGTAACATTTTATAGTTTTTACGTATTATTTCTTTGGTGCTACCTAAAACCATTTATGTTGATACTACATAATTATTCATATAACATCATGTGTGTTAAATTAAACGATGCAAATCGTAAATTGAAGTAAGAATTGTACAAACTTTATCGATATTATATGTAATATAAATATCAAAATAAAACTATAAAAAATTATTAAGTTATTACATTATATATGAATACTATATTAAAATAAATGTTCTATACTACTTTGAAATTTTCTTTGCAAAATAATCTAAACTAAAAGAGACTATGTCATTTGTTTTTAATAAAAAATATAATATATAAACAAAATAACTCACACACAAAAATAGAAAAATAAAAATAATATAAAATTAAAATGCAAGTTCATAATAATATTTTTTTTTAATAAAATTTAAGTCATATTTATAACAAAAATATTATGTTAGTCACAAAAAGAAGAAATGGAAAAACAAATAAAAAAATTAGAAGGCGAATTCAATATGTTATTTTAAATTAAGTCTTTACAACAAATAATTTATTGATATTGTTTGAATTATCTACATAGGATTGAACAAATTTAGTTGGCTGTGAGAAGTGGATTACATATTTTCAATGTGTTATTATGTATAAATTTAAGTTTATTGTTTTGGTTATGAAACATAAATCTACATAATTTTATTGTCTAAGTAAAGGTTATCCACCATTTCTAGACATATTTTCACATGGTTCCAATTAAAGGTTATCCACCATTTTTAGACATATTTTCACTTGGTTGCACCTTGACCCAAAAAACCTATAGATGTATTTTTATTTTTTTATTTTGAACAATACGTCTCTTCTAATTTAATAAACTATATTATATTAAAGATCTAACTTTTATTATCTTTGTCATCGCTTTCTCATTATATCTTCTTTCTATTTCTTTTGTTAAATGTATAAAATGTTTTAATACAAACATGTCGATCTCAAAAACATAAATGAAATTTTAAAGAAACATAATTTTTATTTATATTCCAATTGTATAGATATGTTTATACCTTTAATTTTGAGAAGAATAGTTAATATGTTATGATTTAATGTTTAGTTACTATAATGTTTTGCAACTAAAAAATTACTGAATGAAACATAAAGACATCATATAAAAAAAGACAGATTTAATCTTTTAAATTCTATCAACTTTTATTTTGCCGCATTATATAATTAACTATGTGATGTTTTATATTATGTGGTTAAAAATTTACAATTTTCATATAATCCACGATTGTGAAAGATGTATAAATAAACTTAAGATGACATTAAGTCCTTACATTGTGGTTCTATTAATGAAAAGATATTATGCTTTTATAATTTGAAAAACCCAAAGTGGGTTGTTTTAAAAATTTAATGGATTATTAATTGAGGATAATTAATAGATAATTTGACATTAATCAAGTATTATTTTTTGTTTGATCACATTATTAGTTGGATTGAGATGTGTATAATTAGTACAACATTCTAAACAATTGACAACTTATTCAACATTCCCAATAATATTACTCCCTCCTATTTTTAATAAATGTCGTTTCGAGAAGTTGCACAATAATTAAGAATATTTTTTTTGCCAATAATAACCCTCATTAATGAGGATAGAGATTGATGTTTTGAGAAAAGATGGAGAGTGGATATGAAAAGACGTAGTGTATTTATTAGTTAGATGAGGGTAATGATGGAAAAATCTGTACAAAATAACACATTTATTTAACAAATGATCAATTAAGCTAGGATGACAAATAATAAAAATAGGAGGGAGTATTATCTATTACACACAATTCCAATAGGCTTTAAATTTTTGGACAATATTTATTGAATTGATCAAATGAGTAACATTTAATATAAAATGGGAGAGAAAACAAAAAAATTTCTACTTGCTTTNTAAACATTATTTATTTGCTAATCATCAAATGCAGGGGCAGTGAACAATTTTTCATTGTACGTTTACATGTTATTCTCTTTCTTTTGACGAAGACGTACATTGTTATGTATGTAACATTACATAAAAGGTACGTGCTACAGACGGGTAATGTGAATATGTTATATACTAGTGAACTTCTAAACCAAAATTATTTAATTAACATAGATGTAGTTGCATTAATTCAATTGCCAAAATCTATGACTGGTAGAAGTGATCTTATCTATGAAAAATTTGGCAGTAGACTGGACTTAAGCGGGCCCCATTCTCCACTTTGTTTTGGGGAATGCATAAATTGATACTTTTATCCTAATAATAAAATAAAATATACTACTTACAATACAATTAAATATTCATCTATTTTATGCCTATTTTATAGATCCTGTTGAAATCTGTATCATCTTGACCTTTACTTAATTATAAAACTTAGGATTAAAATATTGTAGTCTGATAGTGGAACAAGACAATCTGGCTTTGCTGTTGCATCTATGTTATAAAATTTGTACTTGGGAATAAACATTATTACTATTATTACTATTATTATTATTATTAAACTTGTATTTAGGTCATCAGATCCCAAGCTTATGTGGCGTAGACGACATACAAATCAAAAGTTTATGGGTTTTGAGGATTTTTTTTTATAATTAATTTCGGCCAAGTGGCGAAGGAGAATTCAAGGCCTCTTGTAAACATGGGCTGAATAGTTTATAATTGGTGACTTCAGCCCATTTATATAAGTTACAGGTTTAAGAGAAAATTACCTAGTCTATTACCTCATATAATTTTGAGATAATTACCCCATCCACCACGACTTTTTATTTCTCAAAGTGCGAATTGAAAAGTTTCAATCTAATTGGTTCTTAACTACAAATTTTTTACTCCCTCCTATTTTAAATATTTGTTATCCTGGCTATCAACACACTAATTAAGAAATATTTTTCTTTCCAAGTTTAACCATATTTAATGGCACAATTGTGAATGAATGTTCTTGGGAATATGAAGAGACAATAGGTATTGATGGAGGGGTTAAAAGGGAAAAATATGAACAAAATAGCCAAAACGACATTTATTTAACAAATGATCAATTAAACTAGAATGACAATTATTAAAAATAGGAGGGAGTAACATTTTAATTCCAAAAATGACTCTTGGATGTGAACACTTCTTAATTATCTCATTACAAACTCCAAGGCCTAAAACATCTCTGTAAAACACCAAACACACCACAAATCTAGTTTCTCTTGCTTTAATCTTCCCCGTCCTCCCCTTCCAGAAGCAAATCATATCATTCTCCGGTGTCCATCCTCTTCTCCGCCTGTCGGCCGCGGCTTGCTCCCCTCCGCCTCGGCCGCGGCTTGCTCCCCTCTTCCGACCATGGGCGGCGTTCTCCTTCGCGCTCTGCTCTTCTACTCGTGGGGTGGTTCCCGACGCCAACGGATGGTCTGCATCTCGGAGCCACCGGAATCGCCGCCAACGTCACCCTCGCTTTGAGATCCTCTTCCTCTCCGGCTCGCTCCTCCCGCCGCCTACAGCGTTTGTCGCCTCAAGGTGTGGTTTACTGATTTAGGATTTAGTAAATTTTAATTTTATTTTTTTGTTGAGGAGGTTTCACTGATCTTAGATCTATGATTTAAGATCTAAAAAATTGATGATGGAATTCCAGCGGCCCAAGGCCCGAGAAGCAAACAGTGCAGATGACCATATCCTATGCGGGGCGTGTAATGGTGTTCGTCTGGGTTGGGCCATGGTGTTCGACGATCTGCCGGCCGTTGGCGACGTGCTGGTGGAGCTGCCGACCTCCCATGTTTAGAAGTTGGATGTCGTTAATTTCTTCAAGAGGTTGCTGACAAATGTTGATAGCATATTGTAGGTGGGTTTGGGGAAGACATTTCCAGATCGGGGAATATGCATATCGAAGGGAACTTGCTTGGGGAAGAGATTTGTGTTCTTGTTAATTTCTGAATAATTTGTGTGATATATTTGTGTTTTGAATGATTTTGGAAGTTAATTTGATGTTTATATATAATCAAAGATTTGACTATGGTTATTAATTGGGGTTTTTTTTTTTGGTTTTATTTGTAGTTTATATTCACTTTATTTCTTTAATTTATTTTTTTGTCTATTTATTTCTTTGTCCTTTAGTTAAAAATTAGCTAATAAACTTAAGATTAACTAGAAGTTTCAAAATTTGTTTTAAATAAAGTATATAGATAATGTAATAAACTTAAGATAAACTGAAAATAATAAAAAAAAATATTTTTAATAAAGTGTGAGATAATATAATAAACTTAAAATAAACTGAAAATAATCTAATAGAATTTATAGAAGAAAACGATGTTAGATTTAAAGAGATTCTATGAATACAATTGCAGCAGTATTTTTTTCCCATTTTTATGCATTGTTCGTTGTTTTGTAGAAGGGTGTTAATATTCACCGCACCTAATTTTACTATTCACCGCACCCAAAAAATACTCTTTTACCCTTATTAAAAAATAATAATTAAAAATTCAATTTTTAACATTAAAAAAAATTATAAATCTTAAAAAATGACAAATGTGGCCAATCCAAAAATTTATTCTAATACAAAAACCGAAAAAAAAAAGATTCATAAAAAAAATACAAAAAATTCGAACAAAATTCGAAAAAAATCCAAAAAAATGGCGGGACAATCCTCACGCACCGGGAAAGGACTCTCCAATTCACAAGTAATTTTTGTTCTTTTTTTTACATTTTTCATGATTTTTTTTGAAAAAAAAAACTGTTGGCCGGCCGTCCCCCGACTGCGGCCGCAGTGGAGCGAGCCGACCGGCCATTGCGCATTCTCATGCCTTGGCCGCGCGGATTCCGCGGCCAAAACTGGTGTGGCTATTATTTAAGGCCCAAAAATAAAATAATTTATTTAATATATATATCCACGTGTAATTTTTTAATAGGCTAGGCCAAAATTTGGTATCAACAAGTATATAAAAAAATTATGGCTAGGGGCATAATTCTAATATAAAAAAATTATATTAATATATAATAATATACATTAAAAATTCTATTAGTAATATAAAATTCTATTAGTAATATAATAATAATTTTTTTATATACTAATATATTAATTTTTTTAGTATACACTAATAGAAAGTATTTATAAAAAAATAATATTAGTATTCAGTATTACATTAATAGTATAAAATTATGTAATAGGAAAAATTTATATTAGTATAAATTATTAATATATATGAATGTATTATCTTATAACGTAAAATTTATTGATATAACGTTAGAAGTTAGAATTGATTATATAATAAATTACAAATTACTATTATTATTTTGAGAGAAGTTATAATTCATTATTTTATAAAATTATTAACATACATCGTAACATTTTGCAGGTGCCACTCGAAGATTTTGGAGGAGACGACGAAGATTACCGATCTTGTTTTGCTACAGGTGAGCTATTTGATAGTCATGAAGAAGCTATTGAATGGGCAAAAGACATTGCAATGATATGGAATTTCGAATTGGTCATCTCGAGACACGAAAAAGATGGAATGGTTCGGACGTTGAGGTGTCACCGAGGGGAACGTTACAGAGGCAAGGCAGGAAAACTAGGAAATCTTGTGAATGCTGTTTTGAGATGTTCAAAGACTAAATCTACTGGCTGCCCTTTTCTGATAAAAGTCAAATTTGAAGCAAATTCCAAAAAATGGAGTATATGGCTTCCTTTAGAAGACGAGAAGGGATTTCATAATCATGCTTTGGCTGTGCATCCCGAGGGTCATCGACAGATGAGCCGACTCAGCGATTCATCCAAAGAGATTGTCCGTGATATGACTGATGCTCAGGCAAGACCGAGAATAATATTGGCTGCAATTCAGGAGAAAAACCCAGTGGACAATGCTACTTGCCGACAAGTGTATAACTATAGAGGTCAATTGCTAAAAGACCGTCTGGAGGGTAGAGATATTATTGGCCAGCTTCTGCATTCGGCTAGGGGCAGCAACTACGTAGTTTACACAGATGTTGACCCGGACACACAGGAGCTGACACGTGTGTTCATGTCGCATCCAGCAGCAGCCAGTCTATTCCGGACATATTACTGGTATGTCGGTATAGATTCCACATACAAAACCAACAGGTATGTTACATTACGTTATAAATAGTAATATAATGTGAATCTTAAAATAGTATGTTGAGTAAGTTTTTTGATTCTATGTTTTTTCTTCTTGCTGCTTTCATTTGCACAGGTACCACATGCCGTTGGTTGAGATGGTTGGAATGACGCCGTGCAACAAGAATTTCTTAATTGCTTATGCAATTATCAAGGACGAGACCGAGTACAGCTATGACTGGGTCCTACAACGGTTGAGACTTCTGATAGGGCCTAATGTACATCCTACAGTCATTATCAGTGACAGGGAGTTGGGGTTGATCACTCCTATTCAGAGGAATTTTCCGACGACGCCCCACTTACTCTGCACGTGGCACATCAACAAGGATGTGGAAGATAGGGTCTATCGATTAACGTCGACAAACACAAATAAAAATAAGATCTTCGCGCAGAAGTTCACGCACGGCAAGTGGAAGAAGGTTGTCGAGGCAAACACGTGGGACAAATACAAAACTACAGTAACTGATTTGGCTATTACATACGCGGCGTTTCCTCGTGTGCTGGAATATGTGGATCAGACATGGCTAGTGCACAAGGAGAAGTTTGTCAAAGTATGGACGGACACTGTCTTACATTTTGGCAACACAACGTCGTGTAGGGTGGAGAGTTCCCACGCTACGTTGAAGCGGTGGCGTAACACGTCGACCGATTCGCTCGACACGGTTTGGGAGAAGATTGACAAGGAGATTGATTCTCAACTGACTAAAGTCAAGTATATTCTTTAATTTATACAGTAAGACTGTGTTATTAATGCATTAATTATAAATTTTAATTGGGTCGAATGTTAATGTATTACCAGGGAGACGCTGGAGTCTTCGAGACTTAGGATGAGTACGGGCTACAGAGGATTCCCTTTCGAAAAGTTGACACTGCGGGTCTCGCATTACTGTAAGGATATATTGAATGATGAGCTTCAGAACATGCGAGACTTCGGCAAAGATGTTTCGGAGCGCTGCGATTGTGCACTAAAATACACTCATGGACTTCCTTGTGCCTGTGAGCTAAGGGAGGCACACACTGTACGTAGAAATATTACGACCGACGACATCCACAGCTTCTGGAGCACACTAGAGGTGACGCAGCCAGGTATAATTGCGAGATTAATAAATCTATAGAACATCATGCTCAACATTTTTTTTCTCCTAAATTTTGTTTAATTTTTTTTTAACTCCCCGTATTGATTCATTTATAGAAATTTTGATAGAGCATATTGTATAATTCTTTAAATTTTCGGTACGGACAGGTCAGCAGAGTGCATTGGCGAGTGGATGGACTGATCATGATTATTTTCGGAAGCTTGTAGAGGAGGTTGAAGCGGCCGATCCTGCGACTGTACGGTACCTGAACCATCTCATCGACTCTCAACTTCACCCTGATCAACAGGGATACATAGAACCTGCAGTGAATGAAAATCCGAGAGGCCAGCCCAAGAAGAATAATTCAACAAAACGCGATCTATCGAGATGGGAGTACAGTGAAAGAGGCCGTACGGCGGGGCGTAAAAGCACTTCTTCATGTGCCCCGACAAGCTCATCGTCTCAAGATCCGACAAGTAATTTAATTTTATTTTTTATCTGAACGATGACTAATTATGTTTGTAAATTCAATTACCTAAATTATGACGTGAAATTATTCTGATATTACAGATACATTCGAGACGGATTTTTTTCAGTATCGACATCGTAGTAGGATTCCCTACGTAGTTCACAGCTACGTACAGAGTTATCTGGATGTGACGCCGGACGAGAACTGCGGATTTCGGGTGGTTGCGAGTTACATTTATAGATCAACAGAAGTGTGATGTGGCAAGAAGAAATATTGCAAATGAGGTTGCAGCCAACATTCATTTGTACGCTCCATTTAATTGGGATGGGGTCGACGTCGCAATCGATCGTATAAGATGGGACGGGGGTCCTTGTGGCGAGGAGCATTGGATGAATGCTACGGGCGACCTCTTTGCTATTGCTACACTGTTTAATGCAGTTTTCGTGTTGTTAAGCTATGGTCCCAACGATAACAATATGGGCATGGCCAGTATGACGGTATTCCCGATCCGCGCACCATCCACGGCTACACGACCTGACTGTGAGATCGTCATAGGTCATCTTGGTTCCTACGCGCACTTCATTCGTGTCAATCTGTGTTCTGATTCTCCATTACCGCCTTTGCGTTATTTTTTGGAGAAATACCGAGATGTTTCGGTTGAAGATTGGCCGTATCAGTACCAGAGCAGGTTCCAGTTGTGGCATGATATTCGTACTGCAGCTGTAATTTAATATATTGTGATATTCGACTTATGTCTGCGGTTTTTTTTTTAAATTTTATTTTCATGTGTTACGAGTGATAGATTGTGATATCTCGCCGTGTCTACCGTTTCACGTGATATAATGGGAGAATTTTTTGTTTAGATGAAAATAAAATTAACTAACCACAAATAAAAAAAAAAAAAAAAACAATTCGGGTGGTTTATGACAACATCCGAAACAAAATATAAAAAAAATAAAATAAGTATTTATTACATCACTACTGCACTCTGTCGAAATCCAACTTCAACTGAGCCAATTTTTCTGCATAAATTGCCGCCCTATCAGGAGCAAGTGTCGCGATCTCTTGATGCATATCTGATGAAAGGGACATGGACCGTCCGACCCACTACACAAAGCACAAGGAAAATATATACACATAATAAAAATATAAAAGAAAAAAATTGTAATGAACGAATACTAACTAAAATTTAGTAAACGACTTACGTAATCGATGTTGGCGCGCACTGGGACAACCTCATTGTCCGCCTGACTGTCGGGCAAGAGTCTAGGATGAGAATAACGCTCATACCATCGCTGGTAGTCCTCATGGGCCGCCCCTAGATCATCTGCGGTGGTGGGTGCAGTAGCGGGAACTGATACCAGTGATCTACTGCAGCGTCCGCTGCATGCTCAACCCTGTACATCCTAGCATTCCAACCACGAAATACACTGATCGGACGATCCATGCGGGGAGGGATCGTCTGGACGTAGCCCAACTGACGCAAGAAACGCATAGGCATGTACGGCTCCACAATATCCCGATACCTAAGACATCCGTAATAAAGGGTCCTAGGCTCCAGCAAATGTGGGTTGGGGCCGTATGGCAGCCAGTTTACCTGTTCACAATTGCATAAACATTTATTCAAACAATTCGAGTATTCTAAATAACTTTCAAGTAAATGTAATAAAATAACTTAACGTACCTCGGCGGCTGTGAGTCTGTCAAGCTGCCTACGGAAATGCTTGAGGCGCTTATCTGAGTTATCTGGGACGGGGGTCCTCCACAAGGCTGATCGGGCCAAGCTGTCAGGCTCAGAGGCCATACGCGAACCGGCGGGTCGGAAGGTGGGGAAGTACTCGTATATCCAGGACTGCATGAGAGTCAAGCAGCCCGCCACTCCCCCCGACTCCCCCTTGCTGGCCATACCTAAATGTCTGAATAGGTATGCCAGTGCGGCCGAGCCCCACGAGTAAGTCCCAATACTCTGCAGGTCCTCCATCATCTCGTGCAGAATTTTGGGCCTGACCCTGTTACCACTCTTGTCTGTAAACAAGGTGGTAGCGAGCAGCACCCACAGCCAGCCAATCGCCACATGCTCAGTCGACCGACCTGCGCCATTCTTCTCCAACGCAGTAAAAACGGCTTCATTCGTCACCGAGCCGTGACCCCAAAACTTCGCTATCAGCGTTGCCTGGTCCACCCCTAGGAGCTCCATGCAGTGCGCTTGCTGTGTCAAGGTGTCGGGGTCCCCTGTGACTATCGCACCGACGACAGGAACCCCCAATATCGCCCTCACGTCGTGCAACATGATACTCATTTCACCAAAAGGCAGGTGAAACGAGTTGGTATCCGGCTGCCAGCGCTCCACAAATGCTGAAATAAGTGGAGTATCGATGTGGTCATGCATGCTGAATGCCAAATGTGACAGCCCGGTCGGACGGATCAAATCTCGCGGAGCCTCAGCCATCTGCAGGAGCTACTCCCTCAAAACACCGTTCGCTGACATCCTGTTTTGGCACTTCAACGTGCCTCTAACATGTTCAGTCCAAATCCGGGAGGCTACGTGCCCGAGAAAACTAGGGATAACACTCCCGTCAAAGGGGCCACCGGGTACTGGGGCTTTAACAAGCCAGTCGTCACACTTAGTGCGTTTGCTACTCGCCCCTATATTATAATAGAACAATCAATATATATACGACATATTGTGATTGATTGTATCAATGATGTGCTACTATTAAATAGAATAATATCTAATGGTAAACAGCAATAAATACGTAAATCATTTACCTGAGGATGAGGCAGCGCTCGTATAACGGCCCCCAGCGTGTCGTGGAGGATTAACTCGGCCGAGTCGTTTATCTGGACGTGCCTGTGGCTGGGTCTGTGGCTGCTCAGCTGCATCGAAGTCATCATCATAAGCCTGCTCGTCATCATCATATGTCTGCTCGTCGTCATCATAGGTTTGCTCGTCGTCGACATCATAATCATCATCATCATCATCCCTCGGACTCCTTACTGTCGACTCAATGGAGTCCCGCCGACGAACAATACGTATAGTCGGGAGACGTCCAGAACTGCTAGGCATCACTGACAAAGACTGCTGACCACTCCAACTGTCAGGCATGAATGGGCCAGACTGAGGCATGAGTGGGCCAGACTGAGGCATGACTGGGCCATACTGCTGATCACTCTGTATCGGAGCAACATGATGTCTCGAACAACCAGCTTGGGCAGTCTGTACCCTGCGAGCATGAAGGCGCATCCGTTCCCTCTCCCGCCGAGCGGAAGCATTCACATTACGAGTGGATGTGTGTCGGGGTCCAGAACCCTCGAACTCGACAACATACTCATCAGCCTAAATAAAAAATTTTAAACTAATAATTAGTATACATATTAATATAGTTTAATATTAATATATTTGTTTCTTAATAATATATTATTAATATTTTTTCATTAATCATATATATAATAATATATATGAAATTAATTAATTAAATTGATAATATTTATACATTTTTTAATTATCTATTATTTAAATATATATGTTTAATATATGTTTATATAAATATAT